TATTGTTGAATTGTGAACAAAAATATTCAACTTTTTCTACTTTCAAAATCAATATCGAACACAGAGAATCTGGATCGAAAACTTCAGGATGTGTTAGAAAAGAAGATTTTTTCCGATTTTGAACCTTGAAATAGTTTGTTGATAAATGATTTTATATCGCGATTTCAATTGAGAGATACGTGTGGGGCAGAAGGTCCATTATCAGACTAGATATTCGAACAGCATAAATCATATTAATTCGAAATTCGTGCAGAAAAGTGAAGAAACAAGAAAAAGAAAAAAAAGGAAGGTTGCTTTAAAAAACAGGAGTACATGCAATGTCTATCATTATGAAACGATATCGTAACTGTATCGAAGAAAAAATATAACTTATTCCACGAAATAGAAAGTTGCCAGCTGGTAGTGATGGGCCGAAACATATTCGAATATAGCGAAATGGGGCCTAGCAAATTCACGTGCGAAGGAAAGGAAAAAGAATTTCGTACCGTTTTAGTCGTTTGTTTTTTCCTGTTCTGCCGGTCGTATTCGAATACGGCGAACGAACTTCGTCTTCGTTTTGATTAAAAATTTTTCTTTCCTCTCGAAAGTAGTGGTGATCAAGTCAAAGACCAGACTGGTCAAAGTTATACAAGAGCACAATACCCAATCAATTTCATGCGTTTATGGTCCTATAATCATCCATATTTAACCATCATCGAGATAATGTGAACAACAACAATAGCTCTTTGTATTCTTGTTGTAGGATAAATCAGATAAAATTCATCTCGATTTCTTGCCGGTCGGATTATCGTCGTCTCTCTTCTATTTAAATCTCAATGATCAAAATGGCGACTAACTCGAAAACGCGTCCTAACTCTTTGACATCATCAAATGCATTTTCTTCTCCTCGAAAATCGGCAAATGACGTAGATGATCTTTCTCTCGATAGCAATTCTAGCAACAGCAGTATCTCGTTACCATCTTCTATTACGGTGACACCTCGACCGACCGTGAAAGCTAAGCGTAGTTTGGTTTGGCGATATTTCCGAACGATTAATGAGAAATCGTTCGATGTCGAATGTATTTTATGCTCAACAAAAGTTCCTCGGAAATCGACGTCAACTTCAAATATGCTGCATCATGTGCAAACCCGTCACGAAAACGAATATCAAGTGGTGAACAAGGCGATGCGATCAAAAGCTGCCGATGCGCCACAACGATTGCCATTATCTAGTGAACGATCAGCTCACTTAACTCGATTAGCTGCGAATTTAATTATCTCAACTCTGCTGCCTTTGTCTTTGGTAGAAAATCCACAATTACAACTGATCTTTCAAGAAGCTGAACCTTCTTACATTTTGCCAAAGAGAAAATATTTTATTGGCAATGTTTTAAATCAAATGTACGATGAAACTCGAAATAGAGTTCAGAATGAACTTAACTGTGCGATCAGTAAGTGTCTTGTGTTGATCCGTTGCTGAGTATAGTTCTTTCATGAATATCTTTCTAGGTGTTTGCCTGACAACAGATATCTGGACGTCTCAGTCAAATGAAGCTTACATGACTGTTACTGTTCACTTCATCGATACATCAAACAGCAAGTTGAAGTCGTTTGTTCTGGAAACCACAGAATTCTCAGGAAATCACACAGCTCAACGAATAGTTGAAAGACTTGAAAACATATGCATCGATTGGTCGATTCTTGATAAAGTTGTTTGCCTTGTCTCAGACACGTGTAATGTTATGAGAAAAGTGGGAAATGATTTTGCCAAAGGTAAGCTTGTTTTATTCACACATATGCTTCACAGATGGGTCTTTAGGATGGTTTGGATGCACAGATCATCTTCTCAATTTATGCGTCAATGACGTGATTCGAAAAAGAGACGATGTGAAAAACGTCTTGTCGACAGTTCGACACATTGTTTCCTTTGTACGCAACAGTCATCTAGCTTATGAAACACTCAATAAATATCAACGATCGTTAGGTAATTTGTGAGGAACATCTCTTTTATCATTATAAATCTTTTTCTTCGCAGGTGTAAATGAACGTCATTTGATTTACGATGTATCGACCAGATGGAACAGCACATATTATATGCTTCAACGATTCATCGATGAGAAACTCTCAATTTCAGCTTGTCTGAATGAAAAAGCGTTCCAGAAAAATTTAAGTACAGCAAAAATCTCAAGAAATATCGATTGGGATTTACAAGAACAATTGATGGTAACGATCTAGAGAATATCTTCCTCGAAATTCTTTTCTTTCAGATAGTTCTTGAACCGTTCGAAGCCGCTACGCGAAAATTATCAGTGGAATTCTGCCCCAGTATTTCACTCGTTCTACCAGTTATCACAACTCTAATCACAAGTCTCGAGAATCGGACCAGTGATTCTTTAATAATCAAACAAATCAAGAATACTTTACGGTGTTCCATTGAAGAACGGTTTGAAAAATTGTTCGAAGACAAAAACGTGAGTTCTTTGAGGTCAAAGTTTGGTATAACGGAAGGTAGTGAAACTTTCTTTAGGTGCTGTTAGCCACAGTGCTCGATCCTCGTTGGAAAAATTTTAGTTTCTTACAAAGCTCATCTTATCAACAGCACGTCGACACTCACACTTGCTTGACAAAAATGTCTGCGTTTGACGCTAAACTTTTGTCATACATTTATCTGCATGATGAATATGTTGCCGATCTGGCATCACATCCGAAATCATCTGATTGGGATGGTGAAACAGACACATCCTTCCAAAATAATTCAGATTTCTTCGATTTGATGGTGATCAATCAACAACCTACGTCTAATAGCAATTCTGATCCGGAGTTCGTTACATATGAAAACGAGAGAGAAATCGGTCGCAACGAAAACCCACTTGAATGGTGGCGTCTAAACAGATCAAAATATCCACGAATAACAAAAATGGCATACAAATATTTGTGTATAGCAGCGACCAGTGCGCCATCAGAACGAATGTTTTCTTCGTCTGGACATCTGACTTCTGACAAACGATCCAGACTGACGCCGGACAATGCAAATCTTTTGTTATTTTTGAACAAAAATAGCTAAACAACTCGTTCGAATGTTTGCTTCAGTGTTCTTTTTTCCGTGGTTATATTCTTGTTCTCGTTAAATTAAATTATTAGTTCTTATGTTTTATAATGTTCATCGAAAAATAAATAGTGCTGTTGAAACAGATTCTTTTATCTCAAAGGAATGAGTGACAACACAACTGCAAATGGAATTCACTAGTATCTACACAGCGAGAATGCTTTTTTAAATTGTTTCTGGATGACAAAAAAAAACAACTTTTTTTACGTAAGAAACGTATGCCGTTCGTTACGCCGTTAAGAATTGATACACTCCTCCGTTCTGCCGCTGTCTCTTACGACTATAGCCGTAGGAAAGAGAAATAAGCGGCTACAACCTCATCATGACTACGAAGGAAACGAAAGCGAACGTACTCCGCTTCACGCGTCCTTCGGCCCATCACTAGAAACGAAATCAAAATGTAGTACAGGGCGTCAGTATTGGGATGATGCTTTCATTCATAGTTTATTTTTTATATTTCAACTTTTTTCTGTGAAACAATGTTTAGTGGGCTTTACATAGTTTGATTAGTGAAATCAATAAAGTATCTTATCGGGAAACGTCGCCTTGAGCGTTGCATATAATCATCGAACAGTTGCCGTAGTTGCAAAGTAAACTGTTCATCGACAGA